AGCGACCCTGTACAGGGTTTCCGAGGGTGTAAATCCTTACGGGAGTAGAAAGCCTCATCTTTCTCCCGCGGAGCGGCTGGTAGTTTCGAACCCCTGACCTTAAGGTTCGCAGCCCGATTCGTATCCACTACGCTACCAGAGCTCCTAACAACCTCACAATATGTGCTGGAATTTCAACAGCTTTATCTGTGAGTGTAATCCTGCTTGGAAATAGTTTTTCTCTCTTGTATTGCCATATTTTTAACGTTTTACATTTTATAAAATATAAAATGTTCACATTATTTGCATAAAAATTCAATAGATCATGTCCCAGTAGGGCAGGTTCTAAATAGAATTACTTTTTACTTATAAAAAAGAGCATATTAGATGCAGGCACACAAACATGTGCACACACAAGCACACAGATGCTGGGTGAGGATTGTTTAGGAACCAAGGAACCAAGGAATGCCTGGGGTTACTGACATGGAAGGAATTGACACATCCCAAATCCTGATTTGCACTTTTAACTTCCGGAACTGTGAGACATTAAATATATATTCTTTAAAGCCACCCACTGGGTAACTAAGTCATTTCCAACGAGTTTGCTCCCTGGCATCCTCTGAGTGCCTCTTCCAGACCTCAGATTGTTTTATTCCAGAACCTTCCTTGTTCTCTTAGAAATATAACCTGTAAGCCCAAATTTCAAGGCTTGTTGGTCAATGAGTCATAAAATAAAGCATGGAGTCACAAAACATGTCAATTGTTATAAAAACGCTAGTTGCCCAAACCATAGAGGTGGCATCTGCATTACACTAAACTACAAGACCTTTAGTGGAGAAAAAGCAGATCGTGCTCCCTTCCTTTCTGAAGCTGCTTGTATTAAAAGTTTTGTCTCTATCAAGTTCTGATCCAGACACAAATGGAAGCCATCTTTTTGTTTTCAGCATTCATTTAGTAATTCTACTTCAAATACAGTTTTACCACTTGAACAACAAATGTAATTCTCACTATATTTGCGATTTTTAAAATAAAGCAAATATTGCTGTGCATTTTTTTCTTTTCAAAAGTCACTGGAGTATGGGCATCTGCCTCAATACCTGTCTCATTTTTAGCATAATTGCAAATTTTTAATAGTAAAATTGTTTCTTTATCACTAGGGCTCAGAAAAGGAATAGTCTTCTTGTGTTTGGAGTATTTTACTGGTTTAATTTCACTCCCTCCCTCTTAAATGATAGAGATAACTCTTGAGTAAACTTCTGTCACTTCTTACAAATTGTTTGCCCTATTTCTCCATTGTCTATAAAACTCATAAAATAGGTTATAGAGTGTTGCAGACCGTGTAAGACTGGTCAGAGGTTCGAGGCCCTATGGGCCCGAGTGTAACAAATGAGGCCACTGGCAGTTAATGGCAAATTGCTTTCATCTTAATATTCAGTTATATATATTAAATTAATACATGAAGCCTTTGAAAATCCACAGATAAATGTGATAT